CAGATCCAGGGGGCACATGCCCTCCATGCTCTCCCAGAGTGTACACCATGGTGGGAGCTAACCCACCCTCCCCACTCCCCTCAGATGAACCACAGCTCCATCCTGTGCCCTGCCCAGCGCCCACAGCACCAGCCCCACTCCCTCCTTCTCTGCGGGGTCCTCAGTCTGCCCCCCCATGTCCCTTCCCTTGCCCCTTCTCCCACAAGAGACTTAGCAGCCAGACACTGCTTTCCATGCCGCTGGGCCGCATATCGGCAATTGGATCGGTATTGGCCAATATAACTTGTTAAAAATCACCCGTGGGTATTGGCCCAATAAAATCTCTATCGGTGCTCCCCTAGTTACGAATGTTGGTATGACCACTTCTGCCTGTGTTTTTGAATGAAAAAGGCTGTGGCTGCTGTGTTTTGTGGTTAATTCAGTGCTACTGGTTTGTGTTAGGCATGCTATGGAACATGCTGTTGGGACTCTTGGAGGAGTTACACAGTCTTATGTGCCTAAGTGGTCACACAAGGTTTTTGTGATCATCCACTTTGACTAAATTTCAACATAGTTGCTCTGTCTAGGTGTTTTTACACATGTTTGGGGGCATGTGTATAGTCTAAACAATTTCTGTCTTAGTTTTGAGCTGACATCTGTGCACTGTCACAGCACACAAAGTTTGGGCCCCATCTTTGTGTGCTGAATCCATCCCACAGGCAATAGTTTGAGCACCGCTGGGGTAAAGGAAGAGAGCTCCTCTGAAGTCCGTGTTGTTACACCAGAATGTAATCAGTTTGACCCAAAGCTTAATAAAGTGAATGATATTTACTTGAGCAATCTGTGTCTAGAGAATGAGGCTCTTTGTATTTAGCAGCACAGCACTAAGGGTGCAATGATAAAGATTTTTTGGGCCAATGCCAATAGCCTATTATTAATGAGCCATATTGGCTGATTACAATCCAACTGCTGATATGCAGCCCAGCAACTTGGAGAGCAGCTGGTAAGTCTGTTGGGGGGAAGGGGTGGGAAAATGTGTGTGGGTGGGCAGATCAAGGCCTCCAGAGTGAGGGAGGGAGTGGGGCTGGTGCAGATGCTGCCCAGCCCGGGGTGGGGTGGGGGACGTGGCACAGGACCAAGCCGCAAGCGGTTCATCTGGGGCATGTGCGGAGGGGAGGCAGCTCCCACCACTGTGTACACCCCCAGGAGAGGCATGGGGGCACATGCCCCCCGGACCTGTGTGCAGTGCCAGGGTGGGCTGCTGCTGTAGGCTGTGGCTGGGGGTGGCCATAGGCTTTTCCCGGTGGGGGGGTTGGGCTGGGACTGGACTCAGGGCGGACAGCAGTGGCAGTGGGAGTGGGGGTTTGGGAGGGCTACAGAAAATTCTGGGAGTGCAGCCTGGTTCCAACCCCCCTGATGGGAAGAGCCCACACTGGCCCCAGCCTACAGTGGCAGCCCACCCTTACCCTGCATGCAGATTCAGTAGGCATGTTCCCCCTGTGCCTCCCCCAGAGGTGCGCACAGAGGCAGGAGCCACCTGCAGGCGAATTGCTTGTGGCATGGTCCCACATCCCTTCCCTACCCTGGCTAGGCAGTGCCTGTCCCAGCCCCAGCCCCACTCCTTCCCTTACTGTGGGGGCCTGGATCTGTCCCCCCCACCAACACACTTACCAGCTGGATGCTGCTCTCCACACTGCTGGACTGGCACATGCATGCGGCATTTATCAGCAACATTCTTGGCCACATCAGTCAAAAAAGGCAATTGCTGATAATGTCAATTTTTCTTTTTTTGGTCCCAATACAATATGGACTGTGCACCTCTACACAACACAATCTTGAATGATGTCATATTGGTTTAGTCCCACTGTAAACAAGAGGGTACACTCTTCCTGTTGATTAATCAGCACTCTTTCCTGTAGCACAGCACAACTTTTCCTGATAAGTCTCTCATCCAGTTACTAAACGAACTAGTAACTTATGTAGTTTACAAGATATGATATTATCAGAGTGTATGGCTTCATATGTGAGGCACTGCTAAATTGAGAAATTTAGGAAGAATTTTGGGTGTGTATGCGCTTCAGGATTGGGTCCCTTTTAGCAATAAAACAACAGTATCATAAAAGAAGCAATTATTATGTCTCATACAATGAAAGAAAGTTCTGGTGCCTTTGCTATTCTTTTGTTATGTTCTTAGTTTCTGTGGAGCAATGTTTCTCAACCCATGAGTCAAACCCAAAAGCGGGTCCCAACAGCTTATGAAAGGGTCATGAACAAACTTAAAAAATTGATCGTATTTTGCATACATTTTTCAAAAAAAAGATGCTGCTTGTATGTTAAAACTGCATACTAATAAACAGGGATCCATGTTTTTTGTTTGCCAGGGAAAAATGCAGATTTTCTCCTTTTAACAAAGAAAATTACAGAAGGAAAACATGGGTTTCCATTTGCAGGCTGGCAGAGTTCTAGCCTGCAAGAGGCTGCTTGGGCTGGGGGGAGAAGGAGGAGGGCAATCAGGTAAGGAGCACCACATGCCAGTGTGCACACACATGCATGTGGCAGCCAGGCAGTGTGGATCAGCTCCTTCAGCTCCTCGTAGGTAAGTCTGTGGTACGGGAGATGGAGAGTGGGAGAGACACAGACAATGCATTGCAGGGACAAGAGGGGTACAGGCGAAGCACTGGGAGGGCAGGGGGGTGCACGTGTCCCCCCCCGGATTTGCACACTCACAGCAGGCATGGAGCTGCAGCCTGGCTGGATTAGCACAGACAGGAGCTACCTTTGTGGCCCAGCAGGCAGGACCTGGCACAGGAAGGCAAGACTTGTTGCTCCCACCACCAAGACCCCCATACCCACTATGCTACCAGCAGCGCAAGGAATAATGGATGCGGGGGAGGGCTGCGCTGCCCTCACCTCTTGCCACCAGCTGCTTGCACGCTGGTCCACAGCTCTACCCTGCCACCATGGCCCAGCTGCCACTGCTGCTGTCACACCCCTCGAGGCAGCACTGGTGGCCTGAGGGGAGCGGCAACAGTGGCAGCTGGGCCATGGAGATGGGGTAGAGCCACAGTCCAGTGTGTAAGCGGCTGATGGTGGGAGGAGGTGAGGCCAGCACTGCTCCCCACTCACCCATCCTTTACTCCTCACACTGTTGGCAGCAGAGCTGGTGTAGGGTCCTGACAGCGGTGAGAGCAGCAAATCTCGCTGCCCCACTTTGCCCTCCCATACCAGGTCCCACCTGCTGGTCCATGGAGGTAGCTCCTGCCTATGGTGGTCTGGCCAGGCTGCAGCCCCATGTTTGCTGTGGGTGCATAAATCCAGGGGGGTCATGTATACCTCATACCCTGCCCACCACCCCTCCTACCTCACATACTGGAGGGCTGGGTCCTGGGGACAGAGGGCAGTGGGTTTGGAGTGAGGGGCACCAGCAGGGCTGGGGGGATGGGTGGGGAGCTGTACTGTCCTGTACTGGAAGTGAGGAACTGATCACTTCTGAACATTAAGCATGTTCAGACCCTGGAAGACAGGGTCTAAATTCCTGCTCCTGAGTAATGGACTGATTACGAAAAGGCCACTTTGTGCCTTCAGTAGTTCAAAAGTGGGAATTAGGTCACTTCTTCCTGCAGGCTGTGGCTATGTCCTGCCCAGACCCTAATGGAAGAAGAATTTAACAGGGCCCACATACCTCCAGCGCTTCCTAGGCCATGCATTACATCTGGTTCCTTCTTTGATGGTTTGTTTCCATGTGAGGCCAGTGGTATCACGCTACGGGGTTATAGCTGGGCTGGCCATATCACTTTTTGTGCTCCTCCACAGTGTCACTCACTTCTAGCAGCTTACTCCTCATTCACAGCAAGACTTGTCTCATCCAAGTATGGTTTGACACTTAAATGCCTATTCTTCATAAAGGTACATCAGCAACTACTGGTTATTTTCTATTTGTCAGCCAATTCCCATAAAACAATAATAACTACTTTTCAATAGGAGATCTCTAAGTTCTTAACAGAAAATGCTGAACAATCCTGACTGAACTCTTCTCATTCTTCCTCTGGTTAGGAGGAAGCATTTCTGATTCTACCTTGTGGTTTTAAACTGGTTTTACTTGGTGGAAGAGCCCAACTGTACGGATTATATATTTTCGTTCTTAGTCTAATACAGTTATTATATCTGTTTCTGTTACATAAAGAACCCCGTGTTTGTGCACTACACTCTAATTAAAGGCTGATATCCAGCTGTAGTAGTTTACATTCCTGTAACAGCTTTTATGGTATTGTTGCATGGAGTTGCACTGTTTCCAGACAGCCAGAGTTTAGAGCAGTTAAAGCTTTTGAAGGAGATTACCATAATTACAAGTGATCAACATTCAGTGCTCCTCCCCATCTCCCCACCCCCATATTTCCCCCTTGCACAGCATCACAAGGCAAGCTATAGAAAGGCAATTCAGTGAAAGTGAACATAATTTAGTTGAGAAAACAATTGTTTATGGAATGGTGCTTGAAATGTAGTGCCCCCGAAGTCTAACAGTTCTGGTTACTTGCTTGCCTGTCAGTGTTAAGTTGTTCTTTTTTCATGAAACAGGAGCAAGTTGAAACTACTTTTGCTATTTATTTATTATTGTAATTTCTATGTTGTTTTCTTATTACTGCTTTAATTAGGATTCCATTCTTGTCTTGTTTATATTTAGGTACCAATGGTCTTCAATATTCTGCTTTCAGAACTTAGTTACATAAAAATAAGATTTTTTTTCTCATTCCCTATCATCTTGTACCACTACATGCAAACATTTTCAGAGTAGAAATCTTAATAGTGAGGAAGGGGTTAAAACCAAGAAATACTGGTATGTCCTGGATAGATGAATCCATTTTCCCACTAATTAATAGCATACTTATAACAATGGAAAGCCATTAAAACATGAAGGTATGTTTTGTGAATCACATTTATCAACCACTGTACAAGCTGAAGTTTCATTATTTATTCTGTATTTTTAACGTAATATATGGATTTTTTTCATTCAAATGTAAGAAGTAGCAACAAAAACATATTTTTATCTCCATTTAAAAATATATTCATGTAAAAAGGAAAATGTAATAAGAACAGTACATTTTTATGACAACAGTAACCTTTATATGGTGCTCTTCAGATAAAACTGTGAATATTGGAAAAGAAAAAAAGACAGATAAGTGGCTCCCTTATTCATCTTAGTCCAAAATCTATTTTGCCCACCGCTGGTTGTTGGCATTGTTTGATGATATGACACAGTAACAGAGTATCAGATTACCAGAATAGGAGATTCCCAATTTAATAGTTACTTGCAGAAATCAAAAGTATTTTTTCCTTTATCTCAATGTCTCAAAAATAAGTAGCTGTTAAATTTCAAATCATGTAGTCTTCCTGATTTATCATCATATCATGGATGCACTTAGCTGTCTAGCATCAGGGAATCCAATAAGTCCTGTCACATAAGAAGAAAAGAGAAAATCCTATTGGATAATGGTTTACATTTTCCCCTACAGTGATTTATTTCTGTCACAAGACTTAATTTTATCACAAGGCAGATGCTCCATCTATATCAATGCAATACATCCCTGCACTCATTTGTTTCCCAGAAAAAATGTACCTGATGTATTTTCAGATGCATTTGGCTTATTTAGTATATAGAGTGATTAGTCTATGTTTAATCACATGTGTAATTTCCAGTTTTCATAATTTTCAAGCATAATAAAGTGAGTCCTATGTAAAGAAGCATAATATTAAATTGCACAGAGTAGCAAGAGGTGCAGGTGGTGTTAACATTTTCAATCTCTAGTACGTGTCATGGCAGAGCATGTCAAATGGAATAAGCAGAGCTTGCTCAAGTTATCAGGTGATTCTCCTGATGAGAATGTGCCAAACTTTATCTTGAATTAGTGTCATTGACATTATCCTGGAAAAAATTGTCTTTACACTTTTGTTTGTTTTCTCCTTTGAAATCTGCACCAGTTTCTGTGTATTTTGTTTAAAATTCAGAAAGCCGAGCCACAGTATGCTTTAATGACAAGCTTGTGTCCTATCAACACTTCCCTCCCTCCAGTCTGCCACTTAATACAGATTATACTCTTCTGAATAATCATCTTTATTCTGAGGGGCAGCTGAGGTCCACAGGTTGGGATCCTCCGCCAACTGTCATTATACTGTGGGAGCTGGCTGCATCTGCTTATGCACATTGCTTTTCCATAGCCACTCTGAAAAAGCAGAACTATTTCCTTCAGACTTAAAGAGGTCCCAGTGAAAGACTGTCAGATTGCTGAACTTTTCAATCAGCTGTAGATATATGTGATTCCCATTTTGACATTCTGCCTGGAGGACCATCTATTGTCAGCTGCCATTGACAAGTGACAGCAGAGCTGTGACTTCCAGGAAGTTTATTTTCTTTTACTCCCTCTTCCCTACTCTTTCCTTCTCCTTTAAAAATAGACCTTGACCAGCTACCCTTTTCCTGGGTATGGAATGTGGATAATTGAAGGTAGGTTTGATGTAAAGTTTCCCAATTTTGTATTTTGGTGGTATCACTACAAGAAAGCTAATAGACAGGAAAGGAGACCGAGTTAATGACAATTCTCCAAACAGCTGTTGTACGATTCAGCTTCACTACTTCAGTTAATTAATCAGCACCTTGCTGGCAACTCTAGGGGAGATACTCGTTAGATACTGGTAGCAAACAGACAATGCTTTCATATCGAATATGTTCAACAACATCTAATACAGAGATAATTTCCACAAAAGAGGGCAGGGAGTACGGTGACTGTAAAAGCACTCGAGGAGGGACTTCTGATATTTTCGTATATGTAGAAGTGCTAGGTGCCTTACATTCATTTCTTACTGTTATTTGTACCTGCTCTACCTGCTGTTTTAGCTATCCCTGGATGTACCTTTAAAAAAAATTATAATGAATACATACGTGTATGCATGTATAGACGTATATCAATACATACAGTCATGTATTGCTATCAGTATGCACAATATGTAATGAACTAAACTACTGTATATTTTATTTCAGGAAACAGAACTGGCAAATTTAAATATTTAATGCACATATATCTTTAATACAATAAAAATGTAATTAAGATTTAAAAAGTCTGAAGAATGCTGAGCCTGCACATTACTTTAAGATGGCTATTGCCTCAAAGCTTTCCCTCCATCTTCTCCTGCTCTAAAAAGAGATACTTTGCATCCTACCTACCAAGTCAATAACAGCATTCATATTTTATGAGCTATAATGCACAGAAAGCTTAATCCAATGAAATTACATCTCTAGATTTGCAGTATACTGTCTATTTTAGTAGAGCTCTAAAACTGCTACTACAAATGTTGGTTTCAAGCTGAAGATGAATCTGACTTAAACCCCCCCACCTGATTATGGTGTTATTATCACAAAAGTTTCCTTCCTTCAAGCTGATTTACTGTTAGGATACAATTTAACACACCGTAGTTCTTATCCTTTACTATTCCTTTCTTCACTTCTCTGATTTAACCCTGTTGTTGTGGTGCAGATAGTAAATTGCAATGAAAATGACAGAGCTTAAGAGGTTGAAATATATTTGCTGTCAAATGGTCCATACACGTTCACTTCAATTTTTCAGTTGACTTTATTGACTTATTAAGAAGGATAATAGGCCACATATCACTTTATATACATAATTGTTTCATAAATCTTTAATATTACTGACATGTAGTTTTTGTCTTGTTGTAGGATGTAGGGAAATGATTTCATTTTTGATGCATAACCATTGTGGAGTTAAGAAATTTATTGTTTTATGGTTTGTTAGGTCATATTGTTTGTTTTTGAAGCCTTCCAAAGTTTGAGTAATGTGGCAAAATTCTAGTTAGGACTCGTTGAAACAATTCCAAGGGTCAGGTTGTTGCATATCTGGAACAAGGGCTTGAGGTTGTATTAACCGATTTATGCAGACAATTTATCCAGTCTACTGGTATGTACTGATGTAGACAATTATAGCTTCAGCTCTTTAATGAAACTTACATTATGGTAGAGAGAATATCATAGAGTCTATTATACTCATGGGAACTATAAAGAGAAATGTCCCTTTTTAAATTAGCTTTACGGTACTGAAGCTTTATGTATTTACATGCAAGTACACTATTAACCCAAACTACTTGTTTTGAACTATTACTATTGTCAACTAGCAGGAAGCAATACTGGCTATAAGAAAAACTTTCCTTATATCTACCTTTGCACATTGTTGGCTTTTCATGTTAATGGAGATCCTTCTAAAACTTTCCTTTCGCTGCAATTGTTCCCACTACAGTGAGAGCATGATGCTTTCTTAATCCTGCCTAATCTGCAGAAAAAAACCTCAGATAAAAAGGATTTTTGTTTAATCCAGCTTCTCAGATAGGTTTTACTTTTAGATGTGAGCTATAAATATCTCTCTTTACTTTGTTCTTCTGAGAAGCAAACTGTTGAAAAGGAGGCATGAATTCTTTCTTCAATGTCCCCTTTAAAAAAAGAAATGGTATATCTAATTTAGAAAACAGAGAAATGAAAAGGCAATGCTTTTGGTTTGTATCCTTCATTCAGTGAAATTGCTTGTGAGTGTTCAATTCAGAGAACCTTCTTATTAACCCCTAGGCACCAGTGGGTATAGCGCTCCCACTGCTAAGTGTTGCTTTGTATTGCAGCTGTTGTAAGCATCAGGAAATTCCAATGTCTGTTTTCAAATAGTTAAGATAGGATGCATCTGTATCCAAGGCACTTCTGTTTGACCATTTTTTCTCCACCACTGCTCACTTTATAAACCTTATTGTTGAAAGCTCCTTAAAAACAATTCAGTCACAACCATGTATAAGCATTCTTTTAAAAAAAATACAAACCCCCCCGCACACGGAAAATAGGGGGATAGATCTCCATATTCTGGATGAATTCCTAGGAGGACCACATTCACCTTTATATATTTATCTCTCTATGTACCTCGCCTGGTCCTGACTACCTTACAGCAGAATCATTCTTTCTGATACAGGCCCCTAGAAGCCTGAGTGAATTTAATAGGAAGACTCCTATTAAGTTCAATAAAACTAGATCAGAACCTTAATTTACTGATAGTCCCATCTTTTGGTGCACTTTGTTTTGTGCGGACATAGGGTTTTGAGAGGGGGAATAGTTAAAAATTGTGTGCAAGGTGAAATATAATGATAAGATACAAGGGATATTAAATTAATGGACTGTCTCGAGGCTTTCAATCATTCCTCTTCTCTATTTCTCATATATTTTTTGTAAATGATAGTATTACCTATGAAGTGTCCCAGACTGAAATCCTTCAGTTTGCCCAAATAACAGGCAGTGAGTGAAGGAGGTGTATGTTTCCCTAACCCATCCCACCAGTATGTCACTAGTGGTGTTATTTCTGTATGTACATGTGGTTTAGCTCACAAACTGTTTCAAGATTTGTTTTCCTCATTCAGAATGGTGCGGATTTCCATTTATGCAATTGTGAGGATGACTTCTGTAGTGGAGATAATTTTCTACTGGGAACTAATTGTTTATATAATAACTTATTTCACATAGATTAACAGTCACATAATAATGAGTACTGGGCTGTTTTCTCCATTCTAAACCATTTTCACTCCTTAGCTTGGTTCTGGTACAAATATGTCATTTTTTTAAAAATAAGGATGAAAATAAACTCCCAAAGGGACATTTCTGAAAGCCTCATATATTTTCCATGAGCTCCAAATAGGGGAAGGTTAAAAGATAGATTTTAAAGGACCTTTGAAATAACGTGTGTAAATAGCGCATATATAGAGAGAGAGATATACACACACACACACGTACGTGTGTGTGTGTGTGTGTGTGTATGTATATATAGGTCCAAATCTGTTTTGCATACTAGATGCCTAAGACTTAGCAGCTGCTTCCCCAAAACTATGCATCTCACCTCAGGAGAGACCTCCTGTTCCACCCTGGAAAACATATAGCTCTCCCATTTTCTCAATGGGCAACCTTATGTGCTTCTGTCATGTTGCTCAGAGAGGAGGCATCTCCATGCACCCAGGCATATAATGTGCAGTAGCAATGTCTAAATGTAAAATACAGTATAGTGCAGGCAGGAGGACCCATCCAACTTTGCGCAGGCGGCCTAGTGTTTAGGATACTTTCCCAGGAGGTGTCCATCCTTTGCCCTTCTTTTGAAGGTGAGCCACTGGGAAACCAAGAATGAAAGATTCATAGGGCTAGAAGGCAAAGCAAGTGAGAGAGAGTGAGCAATTCCATTGCCTAGTGGGTTGCACATCACATCTTCCTGGAAGGGAGGGAGGGAACCTTAGATTTTAGCTCCGTATGTCTGCTCTCAACTTTGTTTATATACTTTATCCAGTGATTATTTGTGAAGTGCATACATATAATTGGGAATAGGGACTAGGACTCAAGACTCTGACCTTCCCAAGGAAGTTCCCTCTGCT